TTTTCACCCTAGCCAGTTTGCTCAGTGGACTGAGAGGTAAAGAATATTCACATGAGGGTTACCCTCAAATTTTTTCTTGACTTCCCTCAAACTAGAAGCTCACATTGAGGAGCCACAACCTGGAGCGTTTAAGCGTTAGATCAGTCACAGTCTTCTGGGCGATCTGGCTCTTTAGCACAGCCTTTTTTTTTTTTTCCCTGTTCAAGCCTGATAGAAACAAGTAGTTCCTCTCTTTGTTTATTTGTGGTAAAAATGGTAAAACGTACATAAAACTTTCACCATTTTTAGTGTATAGTTCAGTGGCATTAAGTACATTGTTTTGCAACCATCGCCACACTTCATCTCCAGAAGTTTTTCATCTTCTCCAACTGAAACTCTGTACTCATTAAACAATCACTCCTATGATGGTGATTTTTATCTGTGAACTTGTCTGGGTCACAAGGTGCCCAGATATTTGGTCAAACATTCTTCTGAGTGTTTCTTTGAGGTGTTTTGGGTGAGAATAATATTTGAATCACTAGAGTAAAACATATCTCCCTCCATAATTTAGGGCCTCATCCAATCAGTCAAAAGCCTAAATAGAACAAAAGGCTGACCTTACTCCAAATAAGAAAATTTCTTTCTCTGATAGCCTTTGGATTGGAACTACATCATTTTCCCAGGTCTCTAGTCTGCTGGCCTGCACTACACATTTAGATTTGCCAGCCTCTATAGTTGTATGAGCCAATTTCTTATAATCAATCTCTTTCTCAATATACTCATCCTATTGGTTCTGTTTCTTTGGAAGGCCTTAACTAATGCCTTCCTTCTCCCAGCTCCTGGAAACTACCATTCTATTCTCTGTCTCTATAAATTTGCTACTCTAGGAACCTCATATAAGTGGAAGTATATGTTTGTCATGTTGAATCTGACTTACTTCACTTAACATAATGTCTTCATGGTTCATCCAAGTTGTAGCCTGTGTCAGAATTCCCTCCCTTTTTAAGGTTGAATATTTCATTGTATGTATAGACCACATTTTTTCATCCATTCACCCATTAATGGACATTTGTGTTTCTCCTGTTTGTAAAAATCCAGGGGAATAATTTCTATAATCCTTGTGGGGCAGATAGCTAGGCAGACTTGACAGACCTTAAGTGGGTCACATTATCCCTGCCTCCCAATGTTCATGCCCTTGAATGTGGGTGGGATTTGTGGCTTGGAGTATGTATGTGACCATGTGTATGTGATCACAAAAGGTATAGAACCTAAAGTTTCTCTCCCTCTTCTCTTTCTCTGCCTGAATTTAAAGAAAAAAAAAACTTACTTGAATCCCACTACCACAAAGAAATGAATTTTCCAGAGGGAGCTTGGAAGTGTATTCCTCCCCAGTTGAGCCTTCATATGAAAATGCAGTCCAGCAGACACCTTGATGGCAGCCTGTGAGACCCTAAGCAGAGGACCCACTTAAGCTATGCCCATACTTCCACAGGCAATGTGAGATAATAATTGCTGTTTTATATTGCTGTTCATGTAATTTGTGGTAATGTGTTACATGGCACATAACACTAATAATCTTGTGAAAACTTTATCCTCCTGTTTTATTAAAACTTCCTTAAATTTAATCTTATCACTGACTTTCAATGCCTTTGAGGTTGCCACTGAATACTCAGGCTGCAATCTTGGTTCATTCCATAGAGACACTTCCTAGTGGAGTGGCTACAAGATGAAACTGGGTTCTTCTCCCATGTTATGCATTTTTTGAAGTCGTAGCTATTGTTCGTTGCTTAGCTGTTTGTAATTCATGCTTGATGCTTTGGAGTGATGATAGTCCTGGCCTCTAGTTCACTGAGGCAAAGAGAAGAAGAGAATCTGGTCAACTAATAATCTTGTGATAAACTTTATCCTCCTGTTAAAACTTCCTTAAATTTAATCTTATCACTGACTTTCAATGCCTTTGAGGTTGCCACTGAATACTCAGGCTGCAATCTTGGTTCATTCCATAGAGACACTTCCTAGTGGAGTGGCTACAAGATGAAACTGGGTTCTTCTCCCATGTTATGCATTTTTTGAAGCCGTGGCTATTGTTCATTGCTGTTTGTAATTCATGCTTGATGCTCCGGAGTGATGATAGTCCTGGCCTCTGTTTCACTGAGGCAAAGAGAAGAAGAGAATCTGGTCACCTGACTTAGACAAGGTCAAAAGGAGAGTAATCAAAGGAACCAGAAATAAGTAATTCTTTAACCCCACTTGTTACAGCTATTGTACAACAATTCCCTGAAGCATCGATTAAAAGCTTGTGTACATGTGCCCTCTATTTGTTCCACTCCACGTCCTTAACAACTTATGTCTAAGCTAATGATTCACAAGCTTCATGGAACTACAAGATTGTGTAGGATTGTAATGAGATCAGTCCCCTTTATCTCAGCTACCTGCCATGCCACTGCGTACCTTCTTCAATCTTTCCTCCTGAATCCTCTTTCTTCTCAGGTGCAGCTGACCTCACAAGGTACAATCACTTTGATAAAGATCAACACAAATCTCTATTTCTCCAGGGAATAATCCAGTAAGGAAAAAAAAAGTGGCAATAATAATTCTAAAAAAAAAAAAAAAAAGAACAAG